CAGTTGTCTAAAAACTTTGTGCTTACAAACGTACCTTTCGCCTTTCTGAAAGAATCTTGCCTACATAGGCTGCACTATTGGCACATTCAACAGCCATGTTTTCGAGGGTAGTGATAAAGTTTGTAACTGAAATTCTCCGTCGATGTTGACTCTGCGAGTGTTTGTCGCGAACTGTCCGACATGCATGATGTGATAGCATTTATTTTCATCAGTCGTGGGAAAATATCGGGGTCGTGTGCCGACATCAGATGAGTTATTTACAAACACCTGTCTAGTGACAATGCTGGCTTGATACACAAAGCCCCAACCGTGGGAACAGTTGCCTCTGATTGGCTGAGTGCTTAGGGTCGCACGATAACCGTCGTTAGCATTGTTTCACGTCTTCAGCAGCGCGTGAAGAGCGTGAGACCAGACGAATCTGATTGGCTGGGAGGCCCCGTGATTCACTTCTTTTTATTATGGTTTTGCTACTTGTACATTCAAACTTTTATAACAAAACCGGCCTCTTGAAATTGGGCATCCAGGTCATTTGAGCACATGCCGTAATTGACGCGACACTCTCGCAACGTCTGTAGAAGCGAGATTTTCTTTTCCCAGCAAAACTTGTGGTGCTAAAGCCCTCTAATAAGTTTTATATTGACCGTTTTAGAAATTTGAAGTCATTCTGTTATAGTCCACGTGCTGCAGAAAACATAACAGGTATTCTTCTCATTGTTTGTCTCGTTCTTTATCAGTTTATCTTTCTTTACACTTAAATCGGGCTTTGTAGACTGTATTTTAATAACAAAAGGAAGCGAAAGTTTCCCACGGTAGAACGACTCGCGAACTAAATGTGAAATAAACGACATTCCCTTGGTGGAGCACGTATTGAACACGACGCCAGGTGGAGTTTTATTTGTTCTGCTATAATGGTGACACTGATACGGGTCTATGTGCAACCGATCATGAATATTTGAGAACATAAGCCAATTTTCTTGCCTCAAGTTGTTTTTCTTTTGATGCAATTTGAACAAGTTTTATTAAAGTCTTTTTGGAAACTTCAGAAAAGAGTCTCAAAAACGCATATAGCCCGACAGCGCGTTTCAATGGGTTCAAGAATGCCAAGGAAAAGTTCATGCTTCAGGGGGATGCTTATCATTAGCTAAAACACTCTTTTCTGCGAGTTGATACTCGTTTTGTGATAGTGTTTAACAAATGTGACTGCGTTTACGTCTTAAATGCCAAGTCAGCAGTGTGCCATCTTGGCGATTTAAGTCCAAAATTAATGAAAGATCGATCGATGTATTGGCTAAAAATCAGCAAATAGAAAAAAAAAATTTTCTATTTTTTAACCAAAGCTCCGACTTTGTTAAATCATTACTTTACGCCATCGATGAAGTTAAAATTTTTGTCTGTCTAATGGACTGGAACTTATTATAAAAGAATTTTACAGAGCAAAGATTATTGTGGGTTGAAGCTTTCTACTTCTTTATGTGAAGGCAAGCGTGGTCCATGACAAATCACTAAAAGTGTTTTCTTGTTGTTCAGCGATTAACAGCCATTGACACAGTATAATGTTGAGACGAATGCTCACAGTACCTGAAAATTAGCGCATTGAGTAATTTTGAGTTAATATATGGGTGTTTATTTTTCCTTCACGTTGCACCCAACTTCGATTCCTAATGAAACTTGCTAGCTTAGGGCAAAGTGTGAAGGGAACTGAAGTAAACCAGTTATGTTAAAATTTTCGAATTACTTTCCTTCCGATCAAAAACCTAATAAATGTTTTACGCATTTATTTTCCCATGCATGAGAGACCTTGCCGCAAAAATAATCATAAATGCGTCTTTATTTCTTTTAGCTGTTTTTGTTTTCTCTGCTGTTTTAGCAGGGATGATCTCGTTTTCCCCTTTCTTTTTTGGCTCGAAATTCGAGGAAAAGGAAAAAAAAACTATTAATATTCAATTTTACCGCCTTCTAAAGGCTGGTTTTCATTAGCGACGCAGTCGTAGTCGGAGATATAAGAGTGCTTAAGGCTGGTTTTCACTTGCGACGGAGTCGTAATCAGAAGCGTGGAGCGATACGATCTAGTGAAAATCAAACCGACGGAGTCGGAAGCAGAACACCGATTCTGCCTATGACTCCGTCGCTTACGATCTGGTGAAAACTGCGTTGTCGGAGTCGGAAGCGGAAGAATAAACCAAACACGACGCCCGCGAAAGTACAAATTTTGGCGCCAAAGACAACATGGCGGACGAAAAGCAACTTTGGCTCTTATTAATCATTATTTTGCGCAGGTAGAGACAATGCAGGAATAATATCGTTCGAAAAAGAAAGCAATTTTGAGTTCGTGATATCTATCGACGTCGAGCAGCCTAGGAAGAGTATGCTAACCTCGTCAGCGAACTACGACTTGGTGATCGTGAATCGTACTTTCGGTAGGTTCAGTTCGAGTATTTTAACTTTTAATTTCGTAATTTTACCGTCAAGCTCACACGTTTAATTTTGTTACGGATATTTGTGCATTTTGGAAAAATGGAATCGAGGATTGTGATTGGTTTATTCTTCCGCTTCCGCTTCCGACTCTGACAATACAGTTTTCACTAGATCGTAAGCGACGGAGTCATAGGCAGAATCGGTGTTCTGCTTCCGACTCCGTCGGTTTGATTTTCACTAGATCGTATCGCTCCACGCTTCTGATTACGACTCCGTCGCAAGTGAAAACCAGCCTTTAGTGACATTTGTAAAGAGCTATCTACTCAACTCATTACTTGCATAAGGGTCACGAAATTTCATCTTTCCCGTGGAAGAGGGTCAAATCTTTTGTTCTGGTTCTTGATGGATCTTGCTAACCCATTCCTTAGCATGGGTAATGAGTAGTCCGTAGGTGAAATTAAAGCTTTCAGAGTACAACATTGCGTTTGATGCTATGTATCATGATTCTACAGCGGAGCTCGCAATGCACGAGGCGAGGCCCATACTCGGTCGAAAATGGTAATCACTATAAGAATACATTGTTTTTGGACCAGGTCAGCTTTTTCCCTTTTCATCATAGTCGGAAAAAACTGACACGAAAATGATGATAACATGTAGCAAATAACATTGTTTTTTTCTTCTAACTATCATTGTGAGTGTTCAATCTGACTTGCATTGACAAACTTGAAATATTTATCACATAAAAAGCCGTGCAAAATTCCCGCTTGTCCCCCTTGAAAATTTAAAAATACTCGCTGGCGACTCGTATTTCTGAGCTCCTTTTGTTTTCTCTAGCTCATGCACTCAGTAGGCCTAGCCACAAGTTGCCGATGAATCCTAAAAAAGTTGCCGATAAAAGTGTCTAAAAGTTGCCAAAAAGTCGCTATTTTTTTCAAAAAGTTGACCAAAAGTTGCTGAATTTCCAAAAAGTTTCCAAAATTTTTCTGCTTTTCGTACCTTTTTCGGGTGTTAAAGATTACAAATTCGCACTTTGCTTCTTATCAAAATTTTATTTGTCAAAGCCCAATGATAATATCAGAGGTTCTTTCCATTTCACTTGATCAACAAATAGTCTTTCAGAATGACATGAACAAAACATGGCTATATATCCATATAATACAGTTTTCATGTGACGTGTTGCCACGATGTATTGGAATCACTGTAATTGTCCGCCATCTTGAAAAACGTGCAACGTGATGCCGCTGACCTCGTGATAAGGCATTACAAAAATCAACTCATGGGGGGGCCCTAATTATTGTATTTTAGAATAAATTGAATAAATGTCTATCGAAAACTGACCAATGTGCCTCAAAACGTGAAGAAAGTGGCTTCAAAGAACCTCAAAAAGCCCAAAGTTGCCGAAATTCTGAAAGTTGCCAATATTCTAAAAAGTTGCCGAAAATCTCAAAAGTTGCCGAAAAGTTGCCGAGCAACTTGTGGCTAAGCCTAGCACTCAGTTTATTGATTCAAGAACCACTAGACGGGGACAGGAACCCGTCGATAACAACCTGAAAGAGGACCTGTGAAACAGGCTACAACCTCGTTAAAAAATAGGTCCGCAAAGCGTACATGCGTCTAGTGCGGGAATATGTTCTACCTACTAAAACTAATGTGGATGGTTGATACATGTATTTCAATTTGTATACTTGAAGAGAGTTCTGTAGAGAGTAGGTTCAATACGTTTTAATCGAAGTGCCAATAAAAGTGTTCCGTCAGGGAAGTTCACCATGAAATAAGCAGTTTTTTTTCCAGAACTAATTGTATTCTTTATCAAATTCAACTCTTTACCTGTCAGACCTTAACACGGGCATAACGCGCTAATATGTTATAGTAAACTAACTGTTTTTCTATCAACAACCATTACTTTCCTCACTGATTCAGTTAAAGGCAGTAATCTTGAAAATCAATTAGGTACCAAGGTCTCATAGCAGCTGGATAGTAGCTTGCATATTGATCTCCAGAATTTCGGTCAAAATTTAACATGAACACGAACACGAACATAATGTGCTAACCTTAGATGTAATGAAATTAAAACTTGGAGTGTACCCAATAGGTAAAGGAGTGCTGCCCAGATCAACTGTATCTAATAAGAACATAAACAATTACAATCCACTAATGAAACTATAAGTTTATTTGGCTATTCAACAATTACAGAAATTGTTCTCCTTAACCTTTTTTGTCAAGTTGGTTGGAAACAATTTGTTGATTCATTTGTCACTAAAGGTTGTGTTTTGAGGCTTTCTCGATATGTTCATTGAGCTGTGACAAGTATTAAAAAACTGAAAATATCAACAATGTTATAATGTCAAGTGGTTTAAAAAGTAAAATTATATATAATCACAACAACTCCTGGATGATAGATAAGAATTTCTCATTATTCCTTTTTAAAAGGCTCAAAAATAAGAATATATAACAAAAATAATTTTTGGATGATAAAAATGACTGTTGTAATTTCTGTTTCTGTTTCATTTGGATTTCACAATAGAGTTTTTTGCTAAAACCTAAAAAAGAAGAAAATGTAGCAACAACAAGTTCTGGATGTTAAAACTTTCCATTATTCCTGTTTCTATGTGATCTGGACATAATTTTGTTTGCTATCACACATCAGTAAGCATCTACTTCAAGAATAACTTCCACAATTTCTTGGCTCTGTTGCCCTCTGTTGGTGCCTAGATCACAGTAGATTACTCTAAATTGAAAGGAACGAAATAAACAATTAGCAAAAGCCACTTAAAGATTGTCAAAACGCTTTATG